ATTCCGCTATGATTAGGCATAAAAGGTGAGTTGTTTCAACGCCATGTTTACTTATCTCACATTTAAAACTTGAGTGAGTAATATCAATGAAAAGTTTCTTAAGCTGATGAATACTTTTCTCTAGCACAGAAGTGTTTGGCCACTGATTACCACCCATCAGCATAGTTTTATTGGTCCTTGTTGTGCATAATTTGTACTGATTCCGAAGTAGACCAACCTGCAATTTTGTATCAAAATGACAAAAAAGACTGGCAGAAGAAATTCGATTATTTTTTCTTTACTATGTGAACAAACTTATAAAATTATGTATATTTTTAGGGCCAACCCCGTTAAAGAAAACTTTTTGTCAAAACGCGCGAAATGTCTGTTTTAACGAGTTTTACCAAATTACCGTATTGTGCCATCGCTTATGAGCATATCAGCTGCAAAAACACGCTCCCATTCAAAACACCCCTTATTTATTCTACCAACCTTTACATTGACTATGACACACACTTAATGGTTTTTCATGCTAACGTCACGCTTTTAGCACACTGTGCGGCGCCATGGCTGACGCTACAACTTTAGGCGCTGGCACCGAATATGTGGCATTTCACAGCGCCACCACCGCGCCACCTCCCTATTGCACCGTCACATACCCCGAGACCGCGCGCTGTTGCTATAGCCGTTGACTATTCCAACATTTGTTCATTTGCGCCGAGCTCCGCCACACACCACGCTCCCTTTAGCTTACCAACTCAGAGATACACATGCCTATCGCCGCTTCAGCTTGTTTGCTCTTCGGCGCTCACATGCTAATCACATATACGCGCTCACAACCGCTTGTGAGTTACGTGCGCAAGCGATTGCCGCACACGTCGCCGCACCGCCGCGCCAGAACTTGACTTGGCCGAACAGGCACCCAAGCGGTTAGGTACTTTCACGGCGACGGCGAAAAAAACCCAAACAAACAGACATAAAAATAGCACATTAAAAGGCAAAACGAAAACTACAACAACGTCGGCAAGGCGGCGGCAACGGCAACGGCAGCGCTGAGGCGAGTCACATAAGTTTCATATTTATTTGTGCGGCCTTTGGATCAGTTGTTCGGTGACATTTAAAGTGAATTAACGCTTTTCTGTGGTGTATCCACGCATGCAACGCAAAGACGCGTCAGTAAGTTGCGCGCGCGTTTCGCAAGTCTTTCACAGTCAGCCTAATTTTTCGTATGTTTTAAAATACTTGTAGTGTCAGCGTTGTCGCATAGAACGTGAGCGATTTTTATTGTACAGAATTTCAAAAAAAATTATAATATACTGAAAGCAACAATTTTTTCGAAAACGCTTTTGTGTGAAGTGTCAAAAAAGTGTTTACAAAACTGTGACTCTAACCACACGCCTTGAGGACGCGTAGCGCTTGGTTAATTTTGTGTCTACTGCGAGCAAAGCGCCTAGCGAAAATGCGCAGGACTACTTTTTGAATTGTAAATATTTTTTTTTTCAATTTCCGAAGTTATTTATTTTTATTTATTTTTATTTTTATTTTTTTGGTTTTCTTTTAGTACACATACATGCCAGTTTGAAGCTGACTGCGATTTTAACGGTTGTCTTTGCTTCGCTTTTTACAATATTTATTTTGCTGCTAGTTGTATTTGCCTTGTCATTGACATTTACTCGCTGAGAATTGATATTGTACTTGTGACCGCCCAGCGGCGCTCTGTTGTCATCTGATTAAAATTTGAGCACCGTGTGATCGACTGGCAATCAAACGTGTTGACATTCGCTCTACACGCGTTTGCGCACGTTTAATCACGCTTACATATAATTATTGTTTTTTTTTTCTAATTACTTAATTTTCAATGCGTAAACGCCATTTTAAGGCGGTTCAGATGCCAAGCGCGTGCATTTATTAGTAGTTGGATTTGATTTTGTTATGCCATCTGGCGATCAGCTGACCAGCGCTGTATGTGTACGCATTGCAGTGAAAGCTGCGCGCCGCACCAGTTTCGGTATACGCAGTACGTTAACTCCAAGCGCGTCTGTATGCAACAGGAAACTGTATTTCCTCATATCCAGCAAGAATATAATGAATTTGCTCTGCTGGCGTTACAATTTTTGATTAGAAATGCCTTGTTTTATCTTTGCACTCGTTTATTTTTTGGCGTTGTTTATTCTATTTACGCGCTATAAATACACACAACAAAAATGCAATAAAAAGAGTAAAAATAAACGCATTCTCTTCTTATATTTCACTTCTCTTATGGTGATTTATCATTTGTGGGCAGCGCGTGACTTAAAACAAAAAAAAAAAAAAAAAAGAGGGGTAAATCTGACAACGCAACACTGTGCACTTTTGTCTCGCACTCGCTTTACGCTTTAGTCGCGCGCCCACTTTACCCCTATGCTTTGCCGGCTACACGCCCCAACAGTCGCAGCGCTCCATTGCTCAGGCAACCGCTTTGCCAAATTCATCAATATGGGCACAATATTTAAAACAACGCTTCCGCCGCGCCCGAGACCTGTTGGCGCTGGCGTTTCAGCAAAATATTGTATATATTTTGAAAGCTTCGTTTACCCACCTGTTAAACACGTTTGCCTTTGTCTCCAAGCAAAATTCAGCGTTTAGCCGTTTCGAATTACATAATTAGTTAGGCATGACTTTTGAGTCATGAGTTTTGAGTTAAAAAAGTATTCTTTTAAAGACATTTCATGCAAAAATTAAGGCAACCGAGTTAGTTTCGCGTTGCCGACGTAAAAATCGTGTTTTGCTGGTAATCTTATGGAACGTAATTGTTTCTTTTTTATTCTTTTGTGAAATAATTGTTTTATCTTTAAAACTTGCGCAAGTGATAATTGCTTCTGATAGATGATATCATAATGTGTTTGATATATTTTGGTTATCTCTGTAAGGGATAGGAAATTTCTTGTAGATAGTGCTCATTACAAGTATTAATTCTAAAAGACCAACATGGATGCGCTATAGTATTGTTATAACTCAAACGTCGGCCTTGATAGTGTTTATTAAAAGAATAATATGGTATTCTTAGAGATTGATTTTTATTGTTGGTAGTATGAAGAATTTATTTTAATCTGATATTTTGCGTTTAATGCAGAAAAAACACAACCATTGTCTGTTCAATGTGAGGCGGCCATGAATCACACAGTTTACATTGGCATGAGCATCATTTGCCGAAATTGTATTGTCCCAACTCAGAATTCCTTCTTGAGTCTTTGCTAAAGATAAGCACATGATCAAATGCATAGTTTACGATTCTGTTAACGACATACAGGACAAAATTCATTTTTATAAATATAGAATTTTTTTTTTATTAAATCGACTAACGCAAACAATGGCTACCTTCGAATGTATTTCTAGCAAAAAATTTAATCGGAAAAAGTCTTCGGAATTGATTGAAACCTTGTAGGTCCCTCCATATTTTGAATAACATCAACGATCCGAGACTAACTAAATCAAAGGGTCGCCGAAACTGCTAGTAAAGTTAAAATTCCAAGCAGACTACATGAGTATGGTCCATAGGTATGTTCGGCTGAAAGAGTTAAGCTGTAGTTAAGTTACCTTAAGAGGCCTGTTAGTGATCCTACAATATTTGAAAAGGCAATCCCTTTGTTAAATGGTTTCAAAGGGACATAAGAAAGTACTGTCACTGTCAACTAGTGCTATTAACAAAGGCACACGTTTCTTGAGCTTAAGTAATGCTTATATAATATTTTACTTCGTTGTTTCTCAAATTAATTAAAGAAGAAGAAGAAAAAGCATTTTTTGTGATTTTTTTTTTTTTTGTTTTTTGAAGAGACATTTTAATTAAATAATAAAAATATGTACATATGTATGTTTATAGAGTTTAAGTACTATAATAATCCGTGATTCATTTTGAAAATTTTTGGAATCCGAATTTTGGAATTACATAGCCAGAGTTTAGGAAGACCTAAATAATATATAAATAATCGAAATAATAGTAAAAACTTTGATTTTTGACAAAATTACGGCTTCCCAAAAAAAATTATTTTTGGTGAAGAAATTTACATTTCAAAGTTAACGAAGGAATAAAAATTTGTTGCCGTCAGGCACGTTCGTAAAATGAATGCTAAGCCTGTGTACGCACAGGCACGGTTTTTTCGTCTAAACCAATTTTTGGTAGGTGTAAAGGCGACAAGGAGAAACGAAGGGAAGCTTTGTGTCAGGAGCACGAGTTCTTCTTAATACTACGTGGCTGCGTTATTTAGCATTCCTTTTCATTTTTAAATTTTTTCCATGGTTCCAATTACGCTCGGTTTCAAATGTTCGGAAATTTGAATTTTATTACTTATTGTCCGGGTGCTTTTTTTGTCACAATCTAAGCATGACCAGAATTTGAGAAAGTGATCTGAAAGGGAAGACAAAATATTCTCCGACTCAAGTAGTCCGACTTCTAATGTTCGTGTCAACGCAATGAACGACAGTAGAGTCCTCGTGTGAACGCAGTCTAAGCAAGCAATGTTTTGTTTGTAACAACAAACAACTGTACATAACTAACTACCTATATACATACATACTTCGCTTAGTTATTTTTAGCACAATCTGCTAAACTGTAATCTTAGATAAATAAAACTACACATAAACATTTTTAAAATAAATTTTCCACTGAAACTAGTCGCTATTACCAGTTATTCCATATTGTGCTATTAATTACTCGCCGTTAAATGGCAACGCAATTGTATACAAAAATAAATAATTAATTACAACCAAAACATAAAACGTAGTAGTTTCGACTTATTTGCTTTTAGCGCAAACAGTAATTGTTCAAGGCAAAAAGCACTCAAATATGTAAATATTTGGTTATACTATATGTACTATATATTATTTTCCTACAATTTTTTAAATAAAAAAAATTTTAATTTTTTGTTGACTTTTTATATATTTTTTTAATATTTTAAATATTTCTTTTTTATAATTTTTTTTATTCCTTTTTATTATTGTTATTTTTCTTTTGTTCTTGTTGTTATCATTGCTATATTGTTTTTGTTATTATTATTATTTTTTTTGAATAGTCGATAGTGATTTTTTCACATATTTGTGAAATTTCTGCGAAGCGATATGACGAAAGTGTGCAAATAGCAGCGATAACGCCAGTGAATCCCCTTATCAGCGCATAGATTCTGAGGAAAAAATAGAACGAAATTAATTGAATTTGAATTTTAATTTAATTTTTAAACACACTTAGTATAAGTTGTTATTGCTTTTATGGCTACTTTTCCCATCGCCTAACCGTTTCATTCATACACGTGCATACAGCAAAAGCAACAACAACAAATTTCAACAGCGCCGTTAATTGCAGCACCACTACGACATAGTCAATAGCTGTGTTTTTCCTTTTGTTTTGTCACTGAAATTGTCACAGTTGTTATTCTTGTTTTTGTTAATGATGAAATCAATTACCTGCAACCTTAATTCTGTCGAGATTCTAAAAATAGCATATCAAACTGATTGCGACGTCGGTGCGTCAGTGCGACACTGCAGCCAGTATGCACGTTTAAGTAGTCACCCAGTTTCCCAATATGAGCTCTTTATGTACAGTTCACTTGTATGGCATACCTATGCACATACACATATTCACGCTCTAACCTACAATATCTCAGTTTGTTTGCCATTCTTACACATTCCAACTGTCAGCTTTCCCAAGCCTCCCAATATGTGAGTGGTTATGTGCTTATATGAGTTTGTGTGTTTTTCTATTTAGTCGGGCGCGAGAATATAAAACAAAAATTGGATAACTGCAGTGTGCACTGTTCGGTCATGAAAATATGTACGAAAATAAATAACAATTTCCTTCTACCAACACCCGCCCTCTGGTGGTGATAATGTCATTAGGAAGTACACCGTTTTTTCTTCTTCTGCTTTGGCTCCTCTTTACTCGCACTGCAGTTATTGGTTTTGTTTGTGTCATTCAACGCTCGCTATTTGTTGTTGGCATTGTATTTCATATTAATTGCATTTGACTTTCTGTCGTACTTTCCTACACATGTTCTCTGTCGCTTTCTCCCTCTCTTTCCACGCTCTCTACAATCTTGTTCTGGTTGACATTAAGTTGCCGACAAGTGCGATTAGTGGCCATAAAATTTATCGATCACATAGCTTACATATGTATGTATGTACTAAGTACATTTCTCATCTGTCGCTAACTATTCGCTTTATTAACCGTATACATATTTTAGTGGCTTGTCAAATGATATTTATTCCGTGACTTTCCTAGTGACTATCAGTGCGACACGTGCGAGTATATTTGCATTTCGTTGGCGCGTTTGAGGTGAAGAGAAGTTGTAACAAACTGGAACAAATGTTAACTTCGGCTGCACCGAAGCTATAATACCCCTCACTAAAAGATTTCTTACAACATAAAAGAATAAAAAAAATTTTTATCTTGATTTTGTTCGGTCAGTTTGTAAGGCAGTTGTATGCTATAGTGGTCCGATCTGAACAATTTGTTTAAAGATTGTAGAGTTGCCTGCGGCAATGAGCTAAATTTCGTGAAGTTGTCGTGTCAAATAAGAAAATGTTCGCATACTAGAACTTGATTTTGGTCATTTAGCTTGTATGGCAGCTATATGCTATAGTACGATCCGATTCAATTTATTTGGAAAATGTGCCGTTGGCTTGGACAATATTCCACGTCAAATTTTATAACGACATCTTGTCAAATGAGAAAGCTTTTTATATAAGAACTTAATTGATCGTTCAGTGTGTATGACAGCTAAATGCTATAGTGGTCAGTTATCGGCGGTTCCTACAAATGTGAAGCTTCTTGGCGGGAAATTTCAGATCGATGTTTCACAAACTGAGTGACTAGTTCAAGTATATGCGGACAGACAGGTAGTAAAGACATGTCAAAATCGGCTCAGCTCTTCACTTACATGGTATACATACTTCTTAGAGTCTCTAACGTTTCCTTCTGCGTGTTCGTGACAACCTCTGTTTAGGGTACAACAAAGCACAACGGTTTTTTTGTACATGCCTTCTCTTTTCATTATTCCTTATCATATTTATATTTAATTAATTTTATCGACTTTCTTGCATTGCCCTCATTTAACTTCTGAGTTGTGGCAAGATAACGGACAATAGTGGTTGGGCAAGTGTTCTGACGAAATTCTGGGTATGATAAAACAGGTGGGTTCTTTTTTGACCGAGGTAATTTTTACCAAATACAGGGTGCCTTTTCCTCATACAATATATCGAAATTTGTTTTGATGTATAATATATTTAGTCGTCTTCGAAAACGCTTCTTTATAGCTTCCAATGCAACACTGTTTTTTGTCAATTGTATATACATATATACATATAGTATATTGCGTCGATGTCTGAAAGTTCGGCAATAATATGATGGAAAATCGAATGCATATAATTTATAATTATGAAAAGTATGAAAGTGCTTGAGTTGGTTGAGGCAATGAGTCTGGGGATTTCTTCGATATACTGCTGTGATCAAATTGAAAGGTGAATTTTGTCAATTTCATCTCCTTCAAAGTAATCCTCTTCCGCTGCAATACACTTATGCCAACGAATTTTCCAGTCATCATAACACTTGGAAAAAAATTTGCTGAATAGCCATAAGTGGTGAAATGATCACGAACAACCAATGCAGTATGAGATGTTGCATTATCGCACTTCTTTGTTCAATTAATTCAGACGTAGTAAAAATCGAAGAGCTTCACAAAACGAGGCGTATCTCAAATACTAATTAATATTTTGACATGGAATTCAGCATAAATGTCACTAACACTACTACCAACTTACTGAAAAAAATATTTACCGATTCGAAAAACATGCGAAGTATAAATTAATTCACCTTTCAATTTGATCACAGAAGTATAGTTCTAACTAATTCGGAGTAGTGAAGAGAGCAAAATAATTGCAGATATCAAGAAACTGTTTTCTTGGAAAATTGCAGGCAGTGAGCCTGTGGAGGAAGTTTCGAATGAAAGTCTTAATTGATTTGAGAAGAATATTTGTAATTGTCAGGATTTCTGCGGTATTAGTACTTTTATCCATCGCATGTATCCGACATGTACATATGTACATACTTATGTCGAACTATTAAATACTTATCTTGAAAGAAAAACTTGGTAGCAACATTTTAAGGAGTTTTTCCCGTGGAAAATTTGACGGAATTTATATTTAACGGGGCTCCCAATATTTGTGTTATTTTTAATGCTGCTTCTTCAACACAATCCAATCTCTTCATTTAATTATTCAAATCAGCTGGATAACCATTTCACACGAGTTCAATGCTTGCTAAGAGAGCACTGTTCAAACAAGCCAAGCAAAGAAGTGGTGAATCGAACATGAATTCAAACTGAAAGCAATTTGTATTTATAATTTTTCTCGTACAAACAACTAGAATTATATTTACCAACAAAATTATCTTATCTCTAAACGGTTTAAATAGACTAAATCCACAGCATAGAAATAGATTTATGTATATTACAATTCATATGTATGCATAAGTTTGTTTGTATGAAACTCCGCTTTGTAAGTTTTAACAGCTGTGGTACCTTTTTATTTTATGTAGATTACAATTATATTGAATGAATTTATGTACATATGTATGTATGGTTGTACACTTAAGAAATTGGGTGTATAACCTAAATATTACTCATTTCACGATAAATGTTTTTCATAGAAATTGGAAAGTAATATTCGTTTGAAATTTTTAATATATTTTTTATTT